CTTTCCCTTCCCTCCACACCTCTCCTCCTTCCTTTCTCCCTCCTGCTTCCTCTCCCTACCCCCTCTTCCCTCCTCCTCCCTCCCCGCTCTTCCTTTCCCCTCTCCCTCCCCACTTCCCCGCCTTAGACCTAGAGCCTCACTTCCACCTCTCTGCTCCTGGCCGTGTGTTCTTGTGTAGACATCTTAACTGCTCCAAGCCTCCATTTTCTCACCTGGAAAAGGAGCTGTCCTGTTACCACTGCGAGCTGGTCTACTGGGAAGACTCGGAGACATGATGGGGAGCACGTTCCTCACAATGCTCAAGGTTGCTTTGCTTTTCCCTGTGGACACCCGGTGAGTTTCCCAGTGGCTGTGAGACAGGGCAGCCAGCGGCTGAACACAGCAGACATGAGGAGCTGGCTGCCTTCTACCAGACCGCACTCAAGAATTTGCAACTGTACAGCAGTGTCGCCTTTCTCACTAACCCTTTTGGGAAAATGTGGTTGTTTTGAACAAGAGTGCTGAACATGCAATGATGTATTGTTCTTTTAAAATGAATCAATTTAAATGGTTTCTTGATTTAAATGTCTAATACTTCCATAGGTGTGTTGTCCCTGACAAAAGCTTTCTGGGCTCCTTCAGTGCTGGGGGCTCCTCGGGGCAAACAGGTACAAGGCTGAGGAACTGCACAACTCTTGTGTTTGTCTAAACCCAAAGCTGTGTGCCCAGAGCGCAGTGCCACCCTCCCTGGGAAGCCCATTGTGGCCACAGAGTTGCATAAGAAAGGATCTGGAGCTGGCATGGTGGCACACGCCTGTAACCCCAGCGCTCTGGGAGGCTGAGGCAGGAGGGTTCAAAAGTGAAACCCAGCCTGGGCAATTTGGTGACTTTGTGAGGCCCTGTTTCAAATTTTTAAACATGAAAAAGGAGTGGAATGTAGCACAGCACAAGGCCCTTTAACTCCCAGTCTGAAAAACGAGTTTATGTCTTGAGAAACCTAGCTGCTTCATGCATAGCGGACTGTTAATTAGTGAACAGAGACTAAATTAATCACTAAGCACTTTAACAGCAGGTCACCCTGGCTGAAGCCCGGAGAGCGTCTCAGATCTGTGGAGGGGATCCCGAGAAAGGCTCTCCGTGGCTGAGGTTTCCACATTTGGCCCCAGAACTGAGGCGCTGGGAACTCAATCCCCAGAGCCACATGTTAGTGACTTTTGGGGACTGGACCTGTGAGAAGCAGTTACCTCCTGGCCTGAGAGCACTTGTGGCTTCGGGGTTAGAGCCTTCTCTCCGGGGCAGGGCTGTGGGAAACGCCAGGGCGGCTCCTGCGGCTGTCGCTGTCCCTCCTCCGCAGCAGGTCTCCCTTCAATGCTGAGGCGCACGGGTATGGGGGAAACTGAGGCACAATCAGCAAGTATCGCAGACCAAGGAGGACCTGCCGGGAGTGACTGCCACTGTCACCGTGTGGTGCCCTGGGCCTGTGGTTCTCCCTGCAGGGAGGTGGCCCCCACAGCAGGACACCCTCCAAGGAGGCAGCCCCTGACTGTGGACCTCCTGGCCTTCACACCCGGGTGCAAAATAGACCTTTGTGCTTCAGAAATCACCTGGTCTGTGGTATCAGGACAGCCACAGGAAACCAAGGCACCAGTTGACCGAAACGCCCACAGTGCGAGCAGGCTTCAGTAGGGTTTTCTGCTTGCAGGCTGTCTGCACTGCAGTGGGGGCCAGCACCCCAGGCCGCTGGGTACCTGAGGCCTGCTCCAGTGCTCAGCTTGGAGGTCATTTCATCTCCTTGCACTGAGTGCTGCACGGAAAGGCCCATCTGAGGTAATAAGCAGTGCTCCTCTCTCCCTGGGCACAAGGCCCCTGCCGCCATCAGCTCCCAGGAGGGTGGGGACCTGTGGGCTTCGGCCTCCCCTGCTTGAGGGGGCTGCTGGGACTCACCCTGTCCATCCCCTTCCTGGCTGGACAGTGTGGGGACCCCCAATGGTGCCCCAATGGCTTTGGAGGCCGCACAGGGAAGGCGGCTGAACCTCTCACAGCCTGGGCTCCCGGTGGAGCTGAGATGCCCAACCCCGCCTCCCTGTGGCCTGGAAAATGACACAGAATGCGTCTGCTGTCTCCCACCTGGTCCCTCGGGCTCTTGGCACTGCAGCCTGGACCCTGCCCTGAAGCCATGCCTGGCAGCTCTGCAGTGAGGAAGGCAGGGCGACCGTGGTCTCAGCCTGGCAGAGCTGCACTGGATTTCCGAGGTCTTTCGGTGTGGCAGGCACCGGTGTGTGCCCCACCGACTCAGGTGCCATGGGAGGTTTCAGACGCAGCCTGTGTTCTGTACGCGGGGACCACCTCGAGCTGTCGCTCTAATGACCATTTGCAATACCTCCAACAGGCGCTGGCTCAGAAGCATCCACCCGCAGAGGTTTTTAAAATTTTTTAATTTATCACTGGGCATGGTGGCGCATGCCTGTAATCCCAGCACTCTGGGAGGCTGAGGCAGGAGGATCACTGTGAGTTCAAGACCAGCCTGGGCTATGTAGTGAGTTCCAGTTCAGTCTCAACTACATAGCGAGACCCTGTCTCAAGAAACACCCCCAATTTTTTTTCTTTTAAATTAATCTTGGTTCACTCACCGCATCTTGCAGGTATTTTTCCCAGCTAGAAGATCACTTGACAATTAAAAATATCTGGTTTCAGTCTGGCATAGTGGCATATGTGTATAATCTGGGAGGCTGAGGCAGAAGGGCCACAAGTTCAAGCCCAGCCTGGGCAACTTAGCAAAGCTCTGTCTCAAAATAAATAAAATAAAATGGGCCAGGAATGTAGCTCAGTGTAAAGGTCGTGGGTTCAATCCTCAGTACTCAAAGAAAAAACAAAGTCTGGTTCCCAATTCCAGGTCCCTCCTTGTCCTCAGATAGCCATGGTCCACGGAGCTGGAATAAAGTAGAAAAGACAGATAAAGGGCCCCCTGGGTCTAGCTGTTTGCTCTTTCAAAGAAAGGCTTAGACTTTTTTTTTTTTTTTTTGTCCTTTACATCATGGGCAGCTGTATTATTATCATCTAAGTATTATTAGTTAACAGTTCTTTGGATGCAAGCTATAGAAACCCAACTGAAATCAGTTTTAACAGAAAAGAGTAGCCACACAACTGGGGAGTCTTCAGGTCTGGCATGATCCAGCACCTCAGACAATGGCACTGGGACCTGGATTCTTGGCTATGGCTTCTTGTCTTGCCTTTTTCTTCGTCAGGTTTTAAAAAGCCCCAAGCTAACTGTCACTCAGATTCAAATCCTGTTCAAGACAGATTCCTCAACGGATTTGACAGCAGTTCCTGGCAACCTCAGCATGGCTCCTATTGACCCCCACCCAGGTCACACGCTCTTGGCTGTGCCGATCTGCTCAGCCAAGGGAGGAGATACTGCATCCTTGGTTGTTCCCCAGAGAAAATCAAGCGGGGCTTCTAGGAGACCCGTGAGGGATGCTAGACACAGAACCAACAGACATCCACCGCCGTTCCTGCTGGTTTGTGGTGGGGAGTAAATGACAAGTGCTCTTCACCACTGCGCTGTCCCACAGATGTGCGTCCTGTCCTTTCTGGCCCCCAAACCCCACGCCCTTCCTGGCCGGATCCTCTGGGCTCCTGCGGAGGCCTTGGGGCTTCGTCTCTCCACCAAAGCAGTGAGATGGCGCCCACACAGCCCCTGCAGTCTCCTGTCCCTCTCAGGGTGTCAAGGAGACCTTCCCACAGCAGCTTGAAGGTTGGTGGCCTTCTGGGGCAAACACTTCAGCTCCGGAGAAGCCACGGTGGCCTACGGACCCGGGGTGGAGGGGCCCTGCTGGGGCTCCTGCGTCCCATCTCCTCCTCTCCTGTGACCGATAGACGGGGGCTGTCCACTGCACTGGGCCGGAAGGCCTAGGGACTGTCTGCGCACACCTCCAGGTGTCTGAGGGCATTTCAGGGACACAGCCCGGGGGAGCCGTGCCTCGGTGGGAGCCGCTCTGCCAGGCCTTCCACCCTGCTGTTCCTCTCTTGGAACCAGCTCATCAGGCGCTGGAACCTCGGAAACCGTGATCTAAAGTACACCTTCGCCACATCTGGCTCTTACATGATGTGTAATTTGACAAGAAAAATAGCAAGCTGCCTTTCACTACTTCACTAAATGAATTTCAAACTAAACACCGTAATTCTGCAGATCGGATTCCGTAGGTTTTCCCATTTCTTTTTCCTGTTACACAGTGCCTACCACCTTGAGGGCACTTAAATACTAGAGGAAGGAAAGTCACATGTTTTGATCACAAGATTACAGAGTGTTTGATGTTTTGTTGTTAGTGTATTAAAGAAAATTTTCCATTGATAAATGCTCTCTAGGAATGTGACTACGCTCATCAGGTGTGCACTCTCGCAAATGAGTTTTGTATCTTGAATTCACGTATATATTAAGTGTAGTGTCATTAAAATAAACATTGTTTGCTTAAAAATAATAATAAAGGCTGGCTGTAAGTGGCTGCTGCCTCCACTTACAGGCCGCTGGGCCGGGGCAGAAAACCTGAGGAGACGGGGAAAGAAAGGCGGGGCTGCCCCAACTCCAAAACGGTCTCCTGCGCAGAGTTATTTGCAAGGGTCTTTTAAACGCTGCCATGCGAGGGTGACCCCGGGCCAATTTATCATTTTTATTATATTAGCATCACCATCATCAGGTACCGGGGATCGAACTCGGAGCCTTGCACTTGCAAGGCAGGCGGCGGCACCACTGAACTAAATCCCTGGCCCAATTTATCATTTTAAAAAATGGTTGTATGGCGGCATATTTAAAATATATTTTAAAATATATTTACACATATTTTAAAAGCCCCACCGAGATGGGGTGGTGTGCCTACTCATAATCACGGTAGACTGGGAGGCTGAGGCAGGAGGGTGGCAAGTTTGAGCGCACCCTGGGTGACTTAGCGATTTAGAGATATCATGTCTCAAAAAAGAAAAAGAAAAGGAAAGGTTAGGGATGTGGCTCAGGGAGAAGCTGCTCAGTTCAGTCCCTGGTACCACCCTCACCCACAAATTAAACAAAGTCCCATGAATGAACTGTGACAGGCGCTTCATGAGAACATCCAGCGCCCCTGCATGGTTCCCAGTGGCCTCTAATCTCCCAACTACTAAACATTGGTTTGCACATTCTCGAGGCTGTTGGGTTTCTGTTTGATGTGTGGTCCTGCCCGGAAGCCGCCCTTGATTTTTTTATTTCAAGACAGAGTCTCACTAAGTTGCTCAGGCAGGACTTGAACTTGCAGCCCTCCTGTCTCTGTCTCCAGAGCACCGGGATTTCACGAGCGTGCCACCCACCCAGCCATTCCAGTTTCCATCAGTGGCAGCCAAGGCACGGAAGGGCCTGCTTTGGCCTCGCTTCTCTCACTCGGCACAGCTGTGCTGCAGTTCACGCCTGCTACGGCAGGCAGCGGTCTGCCTGTGCACTCACCTGCCCACAGTTACTGGGGTTGTTTTCAGGTGGGGCTGAGGTCGTGGAAGCGCAGTGAGCAGTAGCACGAGACTCCTGAGAGTGAGGCAGCTGCGGCTCCTTGTTCTGGGCTCCCCTTGCCTTGGCCTCCCTGCCCTGCCCCGAGGCCGCGAGACAGCCCTCCCGGAGCTGACCACTGAGACCTAGCCGCCTCCGCCGCAGGCCGTCCTGGGAGCCCGGCTCTACCTGTAACCCTGTGCTTGGGAACTGACCCGAAAAACGGGATTTCTTCTCAATTTGGTAAGGGTAATGTCTATTATTGGAACAAAAGGTAAGCCTGAACGAACCCTCTCTCACTTGCTCTTTTTTTTTTTTTATTAAAAATAATTTTGGAGCCAGGGACTTCTCCCAGCACCACCCAGCAGCAGGTGGTTCCAGCACCTGCCTTGCAAGTGTAAGGTCCTGAGCTCAATCCCCGGTACCCCCCCATCAATTTTTAATTTTTATTTTAAAAATAAATTTTATTTCACTTTATCTCAATCCCCCCTCACACTCCCTCCCCTCCCTGCGTGCAAAAGCTGTTTCCATTTTCCCTTCTATTTTTACTTTTTTTCTTGTCCCTTCCTCCCTTCTCCCTTTTTCCCCTTCCCATTTGAACACTTTCTTCCTATTTCTCAATATCTATTATTCATTTCGGTTTTTATTTCCACTTTTGCTTTCTCACACCAGAGAAACGATGTGGTATTTAAATGTGTGTCTGATTTATTGCACTTAAGAGTATGGGTCTCAAGATCTATTCATTTAGCTAGAAATGTCTGAAGCTCATCTTTATGGCAGCGTAGTACTCCGATGTATAAAGAAAGCCCACATCTTCTTTATCCACTCGTCAGTTGATGGGCATTTGGGCTCTTTCTAAGATTTACTTATTACAAACTGTGCCGCTATAAACATGGGTGAGCATATATCACTGTGGTAGGATGCTTTTAATTCTTTGGGAAGACACCAGCAGAGGAATAGCTGGGTCAAATGGGACCTCTAATCCTAGTTGTTTTAAGTATTGATTTCCACAGTGGTTGCACCAGTCTGCGCTCCCACCAA